AGGACGACGACGATGACGGCCAGGACGACAACGAGGACGACGAAGACGACGGCGACGACGAGGACGAAGAGGACGACGACGACGACGAAGAGGCCGACAACGAGGACGAGGACGAGGACGAGGACGAGGACGAGGACGTGGACGACGACGACGACGATGACGAGGACGACGACGACGACGAGGACGAGGACGACGACGAGGACGACGACGATTACGACGAGGACGGTGACGGCGACGAGGACGACAACGACGAGGACGAGGACCAGGACGAGGAGGAGGACGACGACGACGAGGACGACGAGAACGAAGACGATGACGAGGATGACGAAGACGACGACGAGGACGTGGACGACGACGAAGACGACGATGACGACGACGACGAGGACGACGAGGACGACGACGATGACGAGGACGACGAAGACGACGACGAGGACGACGACGACGAAGGCGAGGGGGATGACGAGGACGACGACGACGGCGACGACGACGACGAAGACGACGTGGACGACGAGGACGACGAGGACGACAAGGACGACAACGAAGACGACGAGGACGACGAGGACGACGACGACAACGACGACGACGACGACACCAACGACGAGGAGGACGACGAGGGCGACACCGACGAGGGCGACGAGGACGACGACTACGAAGACGAAGACGACGAGGACAACGAGGACGACGACAACGACAAAGACGACGAGGACGACGACGACGAAGACGAAGAGGACAACGAGGACGACGACGACGAGGACGACGACGACGAGGACGAGGACGACGATTACGACGACGATGAGGACGACGAGGACAACGACGATGCCGAGGACGACGACGGAGACGACGACGAGGATGACGACGACGAAGACGACCAGGACGACGAGGACGAGGACGAGGACGACGACGAGGACGATGACGACGAAGATAACGAGGACGGCGAGGACGACGAGGACGACGACGATGACGAGGACGACGACGAAGACGAAGACGAGGACGACGACGACCGCGACGACGCCCAGGACGACGACGACGACGAGGACGAAGACGAAGACGACGAGGACGACGACAACGACGACGACGACGACGAGGATGACGACGTCGAAGACGACGCCGACGAGGACGACGAGGACGACGACGATGACGAGAACGACGACGAAGACGACGACGATGATGTCGACGACGAGGTCGACGAGGACGACGACGATGACGAGAACGACGACGAAGGCGACGACGAGAACGACGACGAGGACGACGACGAGGACGACGAGGGCGGCGACGATGGTGACGACGAAGGCGACGGCGACGACGACGATGACGACGCCGACGAGGACGAGGGCGACGACGAGGACGACGATGACGACAACGACGACGACGACGAGGACGGGGACGACGACGACGAAGACGACGAGGACGACGACGACGGCGACGACGAGAACGACGTCGAGGACGCCGACGACGGACGGCGACGATTGCGAAGAAGTCGACGACGACGACGAGGACGACGCCGACGACGACGACGACGACCACCAGGACGGCGACGACAACGACGAGGACAAGGATGAGGATGAGGACGAGGACGAGGACGAGTACGAGGACGATAACGAGGACGAGGACGTGGACGAGGACGAGGACGACCACGACGAGGACGACAACAAGGACGAGGACGAGGACGATGACGAGGACGACGAGGACGAGGACGACAATGACGACGACGATGCGGACGACGACGACGAGGACGACAACCAGGACGAGGACGAGGACGAGGACGAAGACGACGACAATGACGACAAGGACGACGACGACGACCACGACGAGGACGACGACGGGGAGGACGACGTCGAGGACGACGACGACGACGAGGACGACGACGACGACGAGGACGACGACGACGACGAGGACGACAGCGAGAACCAGGACAAGGACGAGGACGAGGATGAGGACGACGACGACGACGATGACGACGACGACGACGAGGACGAGGTTGACGACGAGGGCGACGACGATTACGACGAGGACGGCGACGGCGACGAGGACGACAACGACGAGGACGAGGACCAGGACGATGACGACGACGACGACGAAGACGACGAGGATGAGCTCGACGGCGACGACGTGGCCGACAACGAGGACGAGGACGAGGACGACGAGGACGACGACGATGTCTAGGACCAGGACGAGGACGAGGAGAACGACGACGACGTCGAGGACGAGGTCGAGGACGAGGACGAGGACGAGGACGACGACGACGACAAGGACGAGGACGAGGACGTGGACGAGGACGAGGATGTGAACGAGGACGAGCACGAGGCCGTCGACGAGAGCGGGGATGACGATGACGAGGACGACGACAACGAGGACGAGGACGCGGACGACGAGAACGGGGACGAGGACGACGACGACGACGACGACAACGTCGACGAGACGACGAGGACGACGGCGGCGACGACGAGGACGACGAGGACGAAGACGACGACGACCACTATGAGGACGATGAGAACGACGA